ATAGAGAAGATCATGGCTCAGATAGAAAGAGGAGAAGCCAGAATTCAGAGACGCATCAGCATAAAAAAAGCACTTGATACAAAGGTATCTGCAGTGTTTCTTGCTTCCTTTCTTTCCCAGTGCCAGTGAGGTGAGATGGAGGGACTCTCTGTCTAGCGGGTGTTACTAATGTATGAAGACCAAGAGGCTGGGCATGGTGTTTGCCTCTTTTGCATATTCTTCAGTAGTTGCTTCTTCTAGCTTTGCCATTCTGTAGAAGTGCTGTCCTGGCTGATAGTTATGCTGATCACTTCAGGTGAGGCCCAACCTGTTGTTCGTAACGGTCATCTTTATCACAGGACAAACAGTTGGCAGTGCCATCTAACAAACTCTCAATAACTTTCTGAAGAAGTAGAATTTCTTTTAGACTCATGTAGCTAAAAATCCTATTTAGAGCACTTCAAAAGAGAAGACTTACCAAGTAGAGGAGGCTTTTGTTCTGATCTGTGTTTCAGCAACCAGGGTTTGGTAATTAACAAACAGATTTGTAGTAAATTAAGAGAGTGTAGCAGAAGTCCCGTGTGTGTGCCCCCCTCCCCCCCCGCCTTCAGGTCTGACTAGTTAGTTGTCTTGTCTAGGGAAGTCAGGGGAAGAACAGAGTCTGACTCAGTTAACCAGAATGCAGCTGAACCGTGTCCTTACAGTCTCATGTACCGTTTTTACTGATACTCTGCTTTTGACCATTTTAAAAAGGAACACTGCCATTTGATGCCTGGCAGATCTTGACTGTTTTCAAATGTAGTGACAGGTTTGCAGTCTGCCATTAATCAAATGTCGTCTGAACTAGAATTTTCCACTTGAGATGGTATTGATAAATGCAGTATCTAGAACCCACAGTTCCTTACATGTGGTGGCTTAGTACCAGAGATCTAGTTTTCTAACTGACTTGGTATTGTTCATCTGCCTGTCTTCATGTCATGTATTGCTTTCCTATAAAACAGTTCCATGCCAGTTCTGAGCTACTTCTTAGTTTTATGTGATCTTACTTGTTTTGTTTAGATTGGCAGATATAAAGCCCCCTTCCACCAGTTGAGAATATCCTACGGTACTAATAAAGGGAAGAATTACACCGAAGAGGAGGATCGCTTTCTAATCTGTATGCTTCACAAGTTAGGATTTGATAAAGAAAACGTCTATGATGAATTAAGACAGTGTATCCGAAACTCCCCACAATTCAGATTTGACTGGTTTCTCAAGTCCCGAACTGCAATGGTATGTATTAATCTGGTTTGCTGCTTGTTCATGAATGCCTGTAACACCACAGGTAGACACTGGGCTAATTAAATGGCTTCTGAAATAGAGGTATGTGCACATGTACAGGATGTTACATTTTTATAGACTTTCCAACAACTGTAGTGGATGGCAAATGCAGTAAACTACCTGTTTGTCAAAAGTCCCCATGAATCTGAATTCAATACAGATACGTTTTAAAAAGCAAACATCTGCGATCAAATCCGTTCCTGCAAAGCCAGCCACTAACTATCAAAAAATATTTCATTCCTTTTTTGCTCTGCCAAGATAACAGGAAAAAACTTTTACCTACTTACAGGCATTTCTAATACTCTAATAGGAATTTTACATTAAGTGGCTGCTTAATGTAGTGAATGAGTATGTTGTGTAATTTAGGAGCTGCAAAGGAGATGCAATACTTTAATCACCCTGATTGAAAGAGAAAACATGGAACTGGAAGAAAAGGAAAAGGCAGAAAAGAAGAAACGTGGACCAAAACCATCTTCGGTAAGATTTAAAAAGACATTTCTGTGGAAGAGCTCGTTTGAAGATGGTGCATTTCTAATTGTCTAGGAAAAGTGGTATCTAAAGTTATTTAAAAAACAACAACAAAAAACCTTATAGGGCAATGTTCACGCTGTCATTCAGCTAGTACTGTTGTGGATGCCAGATAAAGGAAAATAGGTTCTAAATTGTAGCTCGCATGCTTTGAGAGCAGATAAAAGCGTTACGTTTTGGATCACGGAGTGGGTTTACCCTGGTCCAATACGTATTTGGCCTTTTGATTAATTTTTATCCCTAAAGAAATGATGTGTTGACAGCTGAGGGACACACGGGTGATGCAGTTCATTCGTTCCACTTTGAGAATGCTACAGCTCCAGTTGCAAGTGTTCCTGGGCAGACACTGCTGCCCCTTCCCCTCTGTGGGGGGCTGCTCACAAACTGGGCTTGGGAGAACAGCACCCAGGCCTGACGGCTCTCTTTGCTGACTCCAGTCAAAGTTCTGCTAAGTGCGCAGGCCTGTTTTGTGAAGGAAATACCAGGTTCACCCCTTTTCTTGCCTAGATTTGTTGTTCAAGTTGTTGCCAAGAGCTGCTGTATCAAAAACTTACGTGCAAAGGAAGTTGTGCTGTGCTTCTGGGCAGGAATCAGTAAAGAGTGGTGGATTAGTTAAGTTTCTTAGAACTGTTCACAGTATATTTAAACAGGTAGTTAGAAATACCATTTCAGAAATAGTAAGCTTTATAACATCCTTATTTGCTTCTATACACTTTTGACCTCTATGAAATAGCAGACTCCTAGAATTGGAAGCAAAAAAACAGCTATCCTGAGGAGGACGTGCATATTTGCCATATTACAGCACTTGCAATTTATCACATTTTAAAGCTGCCAGGGTATAAATTGTCTCCATCTGCTTTGACTTGAGAGGCTTTGCTTGCTTGCAATCTTTTGGTATCACTAACTTACTCAAAAACTTACCTTCCAGGCACAGAAGCGCAAAATGGATGGTACTCCTGATGGTCGTGGAAGAAAAAAGAAGCTAAAGCTGTGAATGCAGAATTTTTGTAATCACTAAATTTTAAAAGTAGTTCTTTAATTTACGGGTCTTCATAAGATGTACTGTATAATGCTCAACTATTATGTCATTAAAGGACATCGGGTTCATCTGTTTACTGAACTAGAAACATAGTACCTAATGTAGTTTCACTTTTTTAAATGCAACAGCTGTGCTGAATTTTTTTTACCATTAACACTTGAAGTAATAAATAGGCTTCATTTATTAATAAGGCTTCCCGTGACTCTCTTTTCACTAATGTTGAATACCTCTTTATTTAATCATCCCCCAGGTTTTTTTTCCCTCTTAGGCTGTTGTGAACACTTTTTCCATTATGATCAATAGAACTATGCAGTTGTGTTTTCTTGTTACAAGCTGCCACCACCACCAGTCAAACCCCATTTTTGGAAAATCTGTGACTCTGACATTACCTTTATTGAACTTGATTTTACTGCACGAATATACTCTGTTCTTTGCCAATAGTGGAATGGCTGGGTATTTACCTCAAATGAATGATCAACATAGGTACAGATTGGAACAAAATTACAACATTTTTCTGTGTTATTCTGTGCCAGAAGAAGGTAAGTCAGTCAGCCTGAGCTTTGTACTTTATTAGAATGACCTAAGAATGGTCGAATTGCTTCTACTGGCAAACAGCAACAAGTCAGAGCAGAAGAGGTAACAATACATCACCTGCCTGTGGTAAAGGCAGAGACAGCCCTGATTGATTGCTGTGAAAAGAACTGGTGCTGACATGGTGTGCAAGACTAAGTGTCTGGCAATCCCCGCCGTTCCCTGAGCTAGTCAGACTACCATGCGCGAGCATTTCCGGCGCTGTCCTTCCTTTTTTATGTATCATCTGGCATATAATGGCTGAGATGAAATCGCGTGTTTCCCACTGCCATCATCCAATACAGCATAATTCTGGAATTTACTAGGGGGAAAAAAAAAAAAACAGAACACTCACTTCACCTTGGCTCAGTTTTGGCCCTTTTAAGAACACCTATCAACAGGCCTCAGCATTGTGTAAACAAGGAGAAATGCATCCCTGGAAAATAACAGCTTTTTTGAGTTTTAAGCATTTAAGCAAAACGAGACCTCAGAAAAAGCTTAGACTTCACGCATGTAGCTCATGTACAGCACTGCAGTTCTTACTAGTACTTTAAATGAGCTTCTATTCTGCTGCATTGCTGAAGCCTTCCTTTAAAAGCTTTCCTTTGCAAAGTACCCCTTTTCACAAAAAAATCCAAACAGCATCAAAAGCCACAAACAAGCCACAATCGCTTGTTTACAATTAGTCTAAATAAAAACCTTTAGAGGAAGCAGAAGGGAAAGGTTTATTAAATAGCTGAGCAGCACTTCATTTGTGCTAGCAATTCTCAACTGCCAGGATGCAGAAAGTAAAAGGAACTAAACCGTCATCTCCCAAATGACATCCTGCTAGTTACAGAAAATCCATTTTCTTTCAAGTAGAAGTAAAAAGCAAAGCAAAGTATTTGCTCTTGATAATATGAGTGTGTTCTGCCAGCGCCATCTGGCAAAATAAGCTACCTTTTAGAAGTATTTGCCTGTATTTTGATGCTATAATGCCTGCCTGTGTCAAGCAAAGGAAGATTAGAGTATGGGAAAGCGATCTGTAGTATTGTTCCAAAGTAATAGAATCTGTTTAAGCATGGCTGAAAGCGCTTAATACCAGCACCTAAGCACTAACATACTATTTTTCTAGTGTGGCTTCACAATCTAGCTCTAATTCATAGAACAGTTTGGGTTGGAAGGGACCTTACAGATCACCCAGCTCCACCCCCCTCTGCCATGGGCAGGGCCCCCTTCCCCCAGCCCAGGGTGCTCCCAGCCCCGTCCAACCTGGCCTTGAACCCTTCCAGGGAGGGGGCAGCCACAGCTGCTCTGGGCACCCTGGGCCAGCGCCTCACCCCCCGCACAGGGAAGAATTTCTGCCTTATGTCTAATCTAAATCTCCCCTCTTTCAGATTAAAAACCGTTACCCCTCGTCCTATCCCCACACCCCCCGACAAAGAGTCCCCACCTTTCCTGCCCCCCCTTTAAGCCCTGGGAGGCTGCTCTAAGGTCTCCCCAGAGCCTTCTCCAGGCTGAACCCCCCCAGCTCTCTCAGCCTGCCCTCACAGGGGAGCTGCTCCAGCCCCCTCATCATCTTCGTGATCCTCCTCTGGACCTGCTCCACCAGGGCCATGTCCATATGTTGTAGGCTTCTTACGTTGGGACTCAGTACTGCAGGTGAGGGGTCTCACAAAATGCTCACTGATCACATACAATGCTCTCCCAGATAATTACGAACACAGCCTTACCTGTGTGAGTCTCCCACCACTGTCCAATATGTCTGAGGTCCTCATCACTCAAAGAACACTCATCTACTACTTAGCTTCCGTTCTAACGCTACTTCCTCAGCAATAATTATTTAAAAAACCAACAACAAAAAACAAAAACAGTTATCTGAAAGCTAGACTAGACACTGTACGTGTAATCAAAACCAGCATCCTCCTAGGCACTGACCTTTCATGGTGGATATAAGGCACGTTTACAGCTGCATATATTCAAAACATTAAAGAAAAACTAGATTTAAAAGAAAAAAAAGCATCAACTCCACGTCATGGAGTACTAGTTTGAATTCTCTGAGTCACCCACACAGGAACCTAGTACACCAACCCTGTCAGAAACTGCTGCCCGTTACTTAACAATTGAACCAGCATTGGAACCAGAGCAGCCAATTGTCCGTGCAAAGGAGTCGGCCAAGAGCTAGATTTGAGAGTCTGCTTTTTGGTGAAATTACACGTTAAAAGACAAGTGCCCAAGAAGCAGGCTGGACTTCTGAGCTGTCCCTGCTGCCGTGCCGTGTGGTCACAGTGCCACTGCTGCTGGAGTGGCCGACAGGCCCTTTGCTTCTCCCAGCAGACGGCTGTTTCCTCTGCTTCAACAGAAGAAGAGTTAGGACCACGGTGCAGATCAGAAGCAGCAGTCCTGCCAAGCCCCCAGTAACGGGTACAATACCCGTGCCAGGGTCCCTGCTCCCGACTTCCAGAACTGGCCTGTGACGCGGCACGCCAGCGGGGACCACATCTTTCTGGATGAAGACAGCTTTGTCAGAACGGTCAAGTGCAATATGCTGAATATTCGTGCCCCTGTTTTTATCTGCTCCAATACCTTCCATGAAGACCGGGGCACCTGGGTTGGCTCTTCTGCTGTGTTTAAAGGCTGTGGTGCTAACTATTCCTTCAGCAGAGGACAATGCGTGGTGGAAGGCAAGACTTCTCTTCCCCTTGTGCCTGTGCGCATTTTCCTTCGATCGGACCGTGTAAATAGTGTGAATGTACCATTCTCGGCCAGCTGTCACCTTAAAAAAACAAAAAAACAAAAAAAAAAAAAAAAAACAAGTGAAAACTAGAATAATCTCCCTCATGCACATTTACTATGAACTGGAAAACACCAAGCATCAGATTCACCCAGACAGATGTCCCAAGCTTGCTGCCAACTATGTCAAAGTCAATGGCAGAAATAGGCACTTGGGAGATTGGATTAATCTTTTCTTACTGCAGACTGCTGAGGTAGGGCAGATAAACTATGTTCTAAAAGAACCTATTTCTTTCTAATGTTAATGCAGAAAGGTGCTACCGTGTTTACCTAACAAAACACTAGTCTTACTTTAGGCAAGAGCAACCCTACTTCAGGAACATGAATTAACTTAAAGTAGGATGCATAGTTCTCTTTTTTAATTTCATATTGTATACAAACCAATTACCTTTTTTTTTTTTTTTTCTTTCTTTTTTTCCCAATTGCAAGAAAATAAAGTTTTAGCCTATGTAAAAAGGCTCCCATGCATGGTAAGCTAAACCAGTAACTTCTGCTCCCAGTCAGAGGTGTACACGTCTGCAGTAACAGCAAGGGTGCAGCGGGGTAGCTCCGTGTTACACACCAGTGCTCTTACCCTGTCTACACTGTTAGGGAGAGGAAACAAAGTAAATGTGCTGCTGAAGTCTGCCGCTGGCTAACATAGTGCCATGATTACCTGTATGCTCTGTTCTCCACCTCAGTCGTCTTTTAGCACGAAAGAATTTCAGTGATATACTTATCGGACAACTTGCCTGGAAGAGCGGAGCAGAGGACAGGCTGAAACCATCAGAACCAGGCTGTTTTACCAGAGGAAAAGCATCTGCATGATCAGCTGCTAATGCAGCACGAAACTCCAGGTTCCCAAAGGCTCTTGCTTGTGTCTCGGGTTGAGCTTTATCCTAAAGGAAGTAAGTTCAGTATTTCCAGATTCACATGGAAATTAGACATCTGAAACTTCATGCTACCATAACTGTTTACATACCAGGATCTTGAATCTGTACAAGAGGGAGGGTGAGCCAGCCAGGCATCCGTATTCCTGCTGGTCTGGGCTGTACGTGGGCACGTACCCATCGGCACCAGTGCAAAGGAACACCTTCTCGATGTTGCAGCTGAAGGAGTCACCGAGATTCTGAACTGGATCCACCATCACTCGGCCGTAGATTTCAGATCCTAGTAAAGCAGATTAATACATTTTACATTATACCAGTCAATTTTAATTTATTAAATCAAGCTGTTACCAAACCATTGTTGTTAAAAATTCTCAGAACAGGAATTATCTAGCTTTAAGTGTATTTCCCCTTGCACGTGATGACAAGATTTTCCATGGCTGTTACTATTAACTTACCATGGGCTTTAGTCTTATTTTCTGTTACAATTTGTACTGATGTGTGGTTCTTAAAGTGCAGCTCTTTTTTAAGCAAGCTTTTCCCTTCTCTTCACTAGAGGGCAACCCATATTCACATATAAGAAACTATCCAACCGGATAGAATTATATCAAGCAAAATAAAGTTCACAGGACATTTGGGTTTCAGACCGATACCTTAAATAAGGGACTGATTAAAACCAAAATCACTTCTGGTCCAATACCACCATTACCAGGAGTTTTACTGGAACCTGATAACAGCTACAGTCAGTGAGTGAGCCAGTAGAGTGTGTGAGAGTACCTGCCCTTGGCCAGAAGTGGGGGGAAAAAAAAAAAAAAAAAAAAAAAAAATCAAGGATGAGTCTGAGCAGCTTAGCTGAAGCCAGCTGCAGTTATCGTGCATCCAATCTGCAGCTGAGAACAGCTGCATGGCCGAGTCAAGGAGCCTCAGGTGTACAAGTATTCAGTTCCCACACTTCTGACTAGAATATCCTAAGCACTTAGAATGTCCCTCGGAATGGGGCAAAAAGTTCTAGTGAGGGCAGCTTGAAAGAAAAAAAAAAAGAGTGAGGGGACTATGTCATTTGCAGCAACTGAGCAAGATTTTCAGAACTGTGCTTTCATATACATGCACCTAAATTCTGCACATACCTTTGGAATGTTTTTCCTCTCAGAGCCCATAAACAGACCCAAAGCATGTTTCAATTACACTAAATTACATCATATTTTAGTGCTTCCGTATTTTACTTTTCTGCAGTGGAAAGACATAGACCACGTAGGGGTTATAAAACTAGTAAAATACATATTCAGCTCTTGTTAAAAGTGGTTCCGTCTTAGCTTTCATGCTGAATGCACAATTGACTTTACCTTTAGTAAAGGCTACATCAGCTCCTTCTCCAAATCCCATTGATCCATCAGATATCCAAAGCTCCTTTTTGGACAGCAGAAACATCTGAGTATTTAGACGGAACTCTGCTGCCACTGGGTCACCGACCTATGGGGAAACGTGAAATTAAGTGATCAGAAGAATGCCTTGGTTGTAGCTTTACAATGATCATTGTACAACACTGCTATAGCAGTGATGTGCTGATCAAACCTTTCTGCAGTACACAACATTTATAAGAATCCTTCTTAAAGACATAACCCTCCTGTTGTGCTTCTCACCATGACCCATTAAAATACACAACTGTAGTGCTTTATTTTCAGTGTTGCCGAGCAAAATAGCAAGATACCCGTTTCCTCAGTTATAGGACAGCAATGTCTCTTTTCAGTGACATTTGCAAAAGTTACTGGGAGAACAGGGCTGTGGGCAAGAAGCCAATAAAACTAGATCAGGACCAGGACCTAGCTCAAAACCAATGCATTTCCCCTACTCCAAACAACAAGCTGCATATTCAGACCAACAAGCACAGGATGAGAAACCTCGTCTGTCCCTACTCACCCCCAGCTGCACCGTGCATGTTCCACTTGAGACCTAGAAGCTGCCTGCAATTTGCCCAGAAAAGTAACCTGCCCTTTGGCCCATGCCTAGAGACAACACAGTTGCCCTGCAAGCAGGTTAACCCCCCTGGTGCGATGTAAAACTCCTTCTGAAGCCATCTGACATACTCCATGATTTTCCCTTGACAACTGATACCGGATGGCCTACGCCAGCAGGTTTCTTTCAGTGGTTACAGAACACCTCCTGCTTTTCAGCTCAAATTTCCTTTTGGCTTGTTTGGCCTGTGAGGCTTCATAGAAAAATGTCCTAAGTAAAACGGAGTACCTATTGGAACCTGATGTCCATATCAAACGCAGTGGGGTCCCGTGGGTTGCAGACGGGCATATTGCTGACCGCGCGCAGCAGTGCAAGGGATGAATTTCACAGTGTAAGCACCCGAGTAATCTCGTACCTGCGAAAAGTTTAGAGAAGTAAACATTTCTCCACAGTCTCTGACCAATCACTTTTTCAGCTCACATTGCCCCTGAAGTGTAGCTGAAACCGCAGCAGCATCCTAAAGACTTTCACAAACTTGGACATTGCTGTTTACGAGCGTGGTGCTTTGCCTCATGCAGGGAGCGTGCGCACCAACACGGTCAGCACACTTCAGCAGCATAGGCAAGGCCCTCACACATGCTGTCTCTCCTCTACATCCCCGTAAAATGAGGACTAATACAGAATACCTACCATCAGGCCTGAGTGGTACTGACCTTGCTGCAGTGCTGGTGGGAATCAAACATGTCAACGTCCAAATCTACCATACCAAATCTCTCTGAAGAGAAGATGATTTTTTGCTGGATTTTTTAGTGAATGCAAATGGCTCCCTTCCTGCCAGCTCAGCAAGAGCTGGGTAACTGGGCTGTGTCTCTCTCAGAGGAGAAAGGCCCTTTTAAGCAAGCCTCTTCTGCCCTCTTAGAGGCACAGGCTTTGGGACCACAGTAGTTCCCACTGACTCCCGAGCTCAGCAGGAGCTAAGCCGCTTTGCTACGTGTGGGGAAAAATCCAGCTTCTCAGAGCAGCAACTCCTGGATCACAGTTTCCTGGCAATGCCAAGTGAGAGAACGGTAAGGCAAATTCTCCAAGAGAGGCCACAGCTCCAGCACCGGCCTGCTCAATGAACCGTGCCGGCTGGTGCTGGCGGGAGCACGGGCTCAGGCTTCTGGACTCAAGCTCCAGGGACACTGGGGACTTCTGACCGTTCGTTTTATAATGAAAATACGTAACTGCATCCAAATGAGTTGATGCTTACTGATCTTACAGTGCTGACGACTGCATGGGAAGTATGTTAAAAACAGGCCTTCCCTTTGCTTCCATAAGTCCAAGCCTGAATGCAAACTCACAGCAAAGTCAGAGATAAAGCTCCACTGCTGCACGGGCTGGTGGAAGGTCGGCTCACTTTGTAGCAGACTAAGTGTAAACGTGAGGCCAGGGTGGTCAGCAGACATCACCATTGATGTCAGGGATGTTCCTGAAAAAATAAAAGGCAAATTATCATTTGCCATAATTAATACCGATGCCTGGCATGGTATAAAATCAGCACACACAAGCAAAAAAGGAGGAAAATGGAAAGAAATTAACTTACACCGCAGAAAAGGAAATGCCTCAGTTACTTATTCCCCTTCTACACTGAGACAGCCCCTTTACGGCGAAACCCTTCTCCTCTGCCCCGTAGACAGCAGTACCGATGCTCCGGCTAGCAGAGGTGGACAGGCTGGGCACGCACCTGGGTGGGACATCACCAGCTGGCCCTGGAAACGAATCTCTGCTCGGAAGTTCACCACCAGTCGCCCTTCGTCACTGATCTGCATACTCGTGGGATAGAGGGAGACTAGGGAGGAAAAAAAACGATTTTACCACCGGCATTTCCCAAGCGCATTTTTAAAGGAAGGCTCTTCGTATATTCTCTGCCTCTGGAGATCTGAAACACTTCACCTAAACCCTGGTGCTCTTCACAGATGTTAAATCCTGTCACACTGATTGTTTTGAAGCAGATCTCCAGTCCCACCCACTGCAGAAAAAATGCACTCGTTTATACCTGCTAACGGTTCAAGTCATTAAGGCAGAATTTTTTTTTCCCTCCCTCCCTTTTGCTGACATAAGACCAGACTCACCTGAAGTATATCCACATATGCTGATATAACAGACTTCAAACAGGAGAAAGAAGGTGTCTGGGACTTTTTGTCAGAGACACGGCAAGGCTGCTCACTCCAGTAAGGCCCCTTTGGCAGGCCCTTCCCCTGCACAGGGCTATGTAAGTGCTTCTGTTGTCCTGTAACTGAACCAATTCAGCACTGGAATCTATCGCTCCATAAGAACCTCTGCTTTAGCATTGGTCTGTGCACTAAGTTCTCCCATTTTTCATAGATTAAAAGCAGCATGCAATTGGGGGAAGATTCAAAACATCTAGTTTAGTAACAGACGGCATTAAAAAACAAACATAACTATGCTTTGGGTGGGTGTTTTAACTGAGAGAGACAGCGTGCTCTTACTGCTTTTGAGATTCTCAAGGCTAAAAAGCATAAAGCTGTTGACCACACGTCTCCCATCATCAGAATGTTCAATAGGATGGAGTTTAGAAACGACAGTGTCTGAAACAGCTCACCTTGGAGCTCTGACTCAGGAGGGCTGCCTATCCCATCTTTCCACAGGATAGCCGTGTCGTACACAAAGGTGAGTCTCAGTTCAGACTGCAAGTCAAAATGTTGCCAGCCACCAACGGCAGCAGGGGAGTGGAAGACGTAGGAGACATAGAGAGGCACCTGTAGAGTTACATACGATTGCACCAGATTCAAGACCTGAAAAACATTGAGGTACCAAGTTACTGAATGCAACCTGAAAAAAAAATTACTTTCACTGCCAACCTTGTGTTGTCATGAACTTCACTCTCTAACCCTAAGTGAAAAAAAACTGAACAGAAACATTTCACATCTGTTACTGACACCACTATTATTTCAGGTCCTGTAAATCACCTCACTTGATAGTGTCCTCAAATCTTTGCCAATTTAACATAACACAGCTTGTACCTCTCCAAAATAAGGACCACTTAAGATTTTGTTTTACCTTGGAATCAAAAAAAAAAAAAGCCTTCAAAACAAACTCCATAGAAATTGAAGGTAGCCTAACTTCGAATTCCAGATCAGAACTGTCAGATCCCTTAGGCATTCAGGAATCAAACACAAATTTAAAAATGAGCCCTGTAAGTGACAGCTACCTTTACAATAGATAGAACTCTATGGATTATGGCACCCTGAAACAATGAAATTTGAAACTACGGTCTGAGTTATGAAGCTCGCTCTCTATCAAGCAACCAGAATGGGTGGCCAGGCAGATAATTAATAAATAAATCTTCATTGGCCACTGGGCATTAATTGAGAAGGTAACAGTTGAGCACCTATGGAATGGGAGAGCAAGGTGCTGAGCCAAGGCTGATTCAAGGTGGAGTCTGTACACAGGCTCTACAGCCCCCTGGAATTTAAGTGCAATTGCTGTAGGGTGCTTGTGTGTTGGGTTATTTTCCAAGTAAACACAACGTGCTGGCAGACACTGCACAGGGGAGCCACCATGCCTGCTCTGTGATCGATGCTGATGTAATTCATATCAAAGACCTGGAACAATGGCCTGTTATACTCAGGAAAATCAGGTGGTTTTTTGTTCCTTACCAACCATTCTTTTATTTATGAAATCTCACCTACTTGACAGCTCTTCCTAAAGCCCAAACACTGTAAACCTAAGTTAGAATTTCTAATTAAAAAGTGTTTTGGTTTTCTGTAAAAAAACACTTTTTTTTTGTGTAGCCTTAGAACACAATTCCAGGGTCAGTAACATACTTTACACATACAGTTTACTTCTGTAAGGCAATAAAATCGTAACTTCCTCTTTGAATGTGCTGCTGCGTGGGCTTTGGGTGATAGCACGACTACTCACACAGTTTGGATAAGCTTTTTGACTCAAAAAAGCTGAGTTTCTAAAATCCAAACCAGGAGCAACTGCAATGCTGTAAATTGTGCTCAGTTACCGGGAAGACGAATCATGCCTGTGCATACAGTGCAAATAAACAAATCTGTGCTTCTAAAAACATTCGTGCTGAGTGGGTATCAAACTGCCTGCAGAGTGACTAAATTCTTTCTCATGCAATCCTTAGTAACACTTTCTGTTGGACTTGTGCTTCCATACCCATCTGTTGAGAGAGGAAGGCCCCTCAGTGCCACATACCTGCCCGTCCGTGCCAATGGAGCCCCTGCAGTCAGCCAGCAGCTCAGATGTGTCGTAGTAACTGCTGAACTCCCACAGGCAAGCCTCGAGGTTGAGGTTCTGGTAGAAACGTAAGGTTTTGGCAGACCTCAGAGCACTGCTGTACTGGTAAGGTGACGTTTCTCCAATCACTTTGGGGTTCTGCGTTTCCTCTGTAATAAACCCATGTTTGGTCTGGATCTCATTATAGTCCAGTAGGCTGGAGCACTTGTGGTGTGCCACACGAGCGCCGTCCGGGCTAAGCGTTAGCTCAAAGTTGGATAAGGGGCACGTGGAGATAACTGGCAGCATTCCTAAAACATAAATATCATGTGCCCCATTACCAGCCTGAATGGAAAAGAGTAAACGAAGTATTCTTTAACTGCTCATGAACGTATTTTTAGAGCTGGAGTCTGGAAATACGGGAGCTAAGGGTGCCAAATGTTTCATCCATACATTAAACCTTGTGATTTGCAAATTTTTGATTAACCTTGGATTATTTGTGGTTCTGCCACAATGCAGCAAACAACTGTGGAGACGAACCTGTGGGAGAGGAAAAGTCCAAAGCAGTGTGTGTTAATCAACTCTCACCACGTGATGCTCACCATCCATATGGGGCATTGTGACTGTTAGTCAGATCAGATTTGGGTGGTCAGGACCATCTGGACCCACGTATCGAATTTTAGCCGAGAAAGGTTCTGCTCCTACTGTTCCTGGGATGCGAGGTTGGCAAAGACCTGAGCAAAGGGGAAAGACAGGTTATGAGATGCCTGCTAAACTGCGTCGTATCTGTGTTAAGCAGCTTGGAGATGTCTGTCCATAGAGCTATGTCGGAAAAATGCAGAAATGTCGACACGCTAATTAGGAAGCTCCTCGCAGCAACGTCCATGCTGCCTGGTCTAACCCCTGGGGCCAAAAGGCCCCTTTGCAGAGAGGGAAAGGCAGTGGTGTGGAAACCCTCCAATACCCAGCAGCGGCTGAGGAACCCAGCCTCTTCCTGATGAGGATTTGTTCTTCCTTTCCAGAAACTGGGAGATGGCAACTTTACATCAGCATTTACCTTGGCAGCCATCACGTACGGAGGTGAAGGGCAGCGCAGTTCACAGCCACACCTGAGCTCTTGCCACAAAAGCCAGGCTGCCTGAGGGGAGCCAACATCTTGCAGACAGCAGCTAACTAAATTACACAGGGGTGGTTTCTGCTGTTCTGCAGGGTCCACCACTTACACTGGAGAGGTATTTCAGGTTGTTTTTCTGTGTATGACCGAGGAAAAGATAACTTCTGATTAAATTACACAAAGACCCGGCACTTTAGAAGCATAGCAGTAAATCCACAGAGGAACTATGGTGCATAATGGCCACTTTAGACCTATAAATCTGACACTTCGGAGTCTCAGGGAACCTTGAAAACTTCACAGGCTACTGCCTAACTTGCTAACGATGGAAAGTCTCAAGGGAGCTACTTTTCAGCCACTGAGTATGAATACAACTACCCAAAACCTTGGTGGATTTCAGTCCAGATTACACGCACAAAAACTTCCCTTCCTTCCCCAACTTAGGATCTTAAAAAAAATACTGCCTCTACCCACAAGCCTTATCTTGCCTTAATGACAGGCCACTGCCACTACAACAGGACCATCACTAATACCCTGGGGTAACACAAAACTTTTTCAGTTCTTCCCACATAATTCAACCCTACCCAGGGGTTTTGTCCTGTGGCTGGAGGAGATGGAGGTGAAGGACTCCGTGTTGCAGAGGAGATGTAGCAGAAAGCCAGAACTGCATAAAGCAGAGAGCTGAGGCAGCACAGCATGGCCTACTTGTATAGTCAGTAAGCTGACTAAAATGAGAAAATTTTAGTCTAAAGAGACAGAGAAAAGTCACCCCCTAGCACCCGACATTTTGGCTGTGGGAATCCCCACATGCAGTAAAGTCAGGTTCCTGTTTTCATTTGGGCAGAATAGGACTTTAAAGTAACTGCCAAGCAACTGTTCCAGTCACTAACTGATCAAACAAAAAGATGCATTTTCCTCATCTGAATTCCTGGAAAGAAGCAACAGATTAGACATACACATCTAGATACAGATCACAGTTAAGAAACCAGAGGGGTGTGGGCTAAACCCAGAATTAGGATGTTCACTTGCCCTCTGAGGCACAGCACAAGTTCCCAGCAGAGTTATGCATGCCGTTCTGCAATATCTGAATTTCCACATGGATTTCATGCCCCCACCCTTTCCAGCACCTGCATTTTAACTGTCTTTTGTCTACAGGTCTTTAGACAAGTCAAATTCAATACAACTACAATCTGATCCCAGTGGCAGTAGCTGTGTTGTTCAAATGAAAATCACATGGAAATAGAGGTGCATTTATATATGCATGTGTGTGTATATATATATATATGTATATATATATTAAGAAAAGCAAAGGACCAAGACCGGGCAAGTCAAATTCTGCTCTAGTCACTAGCCAAATTAGGTGTAAAAAAATCATTATCACCGTACAGCCACCAGTCACTGACATATGACCTACAATGAGAGCAAACCCATGAAATACCACAGCTGATGAGAAAATTACAAGATGCTTTTGCCTTTCACTAGCAACAGTCCCATATGTGAATGAAAAAAGATTAACTGACATACAAGCACCAATGTCCTAAAACAAACACCTCACAGCAGACCTCCATCAGCTGCAAATACTACCTTATCTTTTTCCAAGAAAGGCTACGTAGTTCCCATCATTAAAAACTTACCTTCTCCTCTGTCTACTGTATAAATTGGACTTTAGCTTTTAATTGCAGCTTAATTAATTAAATTAATTGCAGATACTGTTAGTATCTGTTCTTCAACACAATGACCAAGTAAAACTAACTCACTTCTGCTGAACAGAAAAAATAAATACAACTTGATATTAGTAACTTGTTGGAAGACTAAAATTAATATCAAAACATAATATCCTCACATGATTTTGTGCCAAGACAACTCACTCTCAAACAACTCCTGGACACAGCTCAGAATTAGTGTGGGCCAGGGAGGCGGTTTGCATGCAGAGATCCTGCTTCAGTGGTGAAGAAAGTTCAACAAAGTGGGTCTGCATGTCAAGGGATGGTCCCAGATACATTATTATACTGGTATGGATACTGCCTCAGGCTCCATTTGCAGTGCATATTTAAGCAGGATCCAAAACATCTGCACTTTGAGCTGAATAGTCAACATACTTGGCATTAGTTAGATCTTTAGGAGACACGTTTATCCACATGAAAGCCCAAGACAAGAGCGATTTATTAGACATAACCATCTGTGACCCTTCCTCCAGAAATCGAGTGGCAATTATGATTTCTTGCTAAGAGTCAGGAGGAAGTGGCACCCATTTTTCTGACACCATCCCAGTCAAGAGCATGAATACTCAAGAAATGAAAGACCTCGTTTGTTCATTTTACTTTAATTGTATTCAAGGTCACACCTCCCCCTAGGAGATACTGTAGAAAAGTTACTCCCCTAAGGAGTGTGCATAACTACTAGGTTATAAACTGCTCCTGCGAGGGTGATGCACCATCAAAAACATGTCACACTATGAGGAAAGCAAATCGACATGCAATAGGTCACAAAAAGAGTGTATGGATCTGTGACCTTGAAGTCTGGAGTCTTTCCTGGAAGAAAGGGGACCTGGGTACCAGCTCCCAGGAGTGAGCTTTTCTATGAAGAGCATCCCACCACTGGCAACTCTGTACTGTAAGTGCACAGGGCAGATCTCTCTTCCATACTGCCAGATGATGAAAGCAGATTAAATCTAGACAGGAATCCGAGCATATTCCTGTATCATCGTAAACTGTCTATCGTAACGATATCTCAACCCTCTGCCACCTCAGGGGACCTGAAGGCAAAGCTCAATAACCAAATTCTGCTCAAAACACATGACTTTGGGTAGATAACAACCTGAGCTAGGGTGAACTTCCATTCTTATGAAGAAATCCTGAGCGCACATTCCAGGTTAGTAAATTTAAAGTAGCCCAAAGCAAACAGAATCTCATGTCCAATCCAAAGCTAACAGAGTCCCTTACAGATCCCACAATTACCTTGGGAAAAAAAAACAAACCAAAACAAGAACAGACAACACTCGAATCTCCAATTCCAAAACACACAAAGTGAAGCAGGAACTCTTAGTCTAAAGTACAGTACTTGCCACTTGGTTATCAGAACAAAAATTCAGCTCCCTGTCCAGCATTCAATTGCAGGAAGGCACTTTCCAAACTAAAGTTTCCCATCCCAACACCCAATGAAGTCCTTACCTTCTGACATTGGATTGTAGTCTTCCCCTGAGGTGGCTGAACCATCTTTTGTGTGCACTCTGACAACAGATACTTTGGAGCTATCACCGAGGCGTAGAACATGGATTCTAACTAGTGCAATTTCTCCAGGTTCCTGAGGCTCCTGAATGCTGTGTTTTATTTCAGAGAATTTAATCACTGGTTCTAGAAGAGAAAACAAACAAACAAAAAAACACACAATGAAAACCTGAACACTAAAAAAAGAAAAAAAATAATAATTTACTCCTGTTGACTAGATCAAGTGCAAATACCTTATCTGAGAGCGGATAATCCAAAGGAAGTGAGAAAGTCATAACAAACCTGAAAATTCACAATGATTGCCTGGCTATTAATTTATTTGGTTTATTGATTGCAGTGTGGAATAATCAAAGTGAAATATTTTGGAAACTGGAATTCAGAAAGAAGTTTGTAGCTATTATTAAAACAATATCTGGTCCCCTGGTGTTTGCTTTAGCAGAGTTTAGAGTGGAATATTGAGACAAAATATGTTTAGCTTTTGAAGAAAGTAGTTACTTTTATAAGTTATTTATTCTAATGTCTTGCCAAAAGTATGGGATAAATCTGATTTTCTTAAATTACTCACTACGTCTTGTAAGGTGTCCACTTCACATCATTATCAATTATATTATGGCTTCGATAAATGAGTGCTACCAGCTGTTCATCTTTTTCATTTGCCATGTACATGGGTTCTTTGAACTGGACTTTGGGTACTGACAACAGAATATGTTATGCAAGTTGAAAACTCACACATAGGCAGAAAATATTAACCACTTTCCTCAATTTAAAAAACAACAACAACAAAAAGTAGAAGTACTTTTCTTTAACATAGCATTTTATTTGTTAACCTTTTACAATAAACTACAGAAGGTTCAGATTTACATGTTTTTTAAAAACAGAGTTTGAATCTAGATGAATTAAAAAACTTACCTGGTCTACAGCAACTAATTTCCAATTTAGTACTAATTTTGTCTCTAGTCTTCCAGTTTTCTCACAGCAGCTAAGACTTGGTGATTTTTTTAAAAAGAGCATTTGAGCCATTTCTGAGGTGTGGGGTTATTTTCTATAAAGCAGTCTCTTATACCTTTGATGCAGAGAGGAAGTAGATGCATGATACCACAAGGACAAAACAGGGTGATGACCACAACTCCACCTCCACCACAGTCAGTATCATATTTGCACTGACTTCAACAAGTGAGTATTTCACAGTGAAACTGTAACTGCTCTTCAGAGTTCTGTTGGAGAACCTTTCTAAAACAATATAGTTTCTTTAAGTCTTTGAAGTGCAGTGAATTTGCAGAAACCTGAGACTGCTGAGAGTCAGCTGGTTTATTTACCCAGTGCCAGAGAACCTCTAAATAGCGCCGTATTGAGTGTTGCTTACTTTTAAAGTTTTACACCTACCTTTTTTTTTTTTTTTTGTTCCCTTAATACTCCCCTAGAAGAGACAATACAGTTACACCTTCATTCATTAGCATGAGCATCAATATCTGCATAATTACTTGAAAATTTTAGCTCCCTGCAATTTTTGGTGTCCAAATAACTATCAGGGGAAAAAAAGTTTGAACCCTATGGCTTCTACCTTCAAAACGAATATTAATTCAAACAAACAGCCTTAATGCAACAGGCATAAACAAGTGTACTTTTAGCTTGTGGCACAGTTCCACTATTACGTTAACTTGTCCAAAACTGTGTCTTCAAGTTCATAATGAGAAGGAAGACAAGCCAGAGTAAAGAACCTGCAATAGAGCGCTATGTTCCAACTTCAAGCGTAGCACACAGCTGTTAATCTTTATAATGTACTTGGGGTAAATGATGTATCATTGCACTTACACACATCGTAATTTATGCTACTACCAAAGGAACTCTTCCACCTTCTAAGTGCACTTAAAACACCAAAACAAAAAACCCTTGAAAAAACTCTCCCCCACCCCCTTGCTACTTACAGTCAGCGATGGTGTCGTTGATAAAGACAGTAGTTATGTTGGGCTCTCCAAGCATCGCATTCATGGGCATGCAGAGAACTAGTTCAAACTTCTCCAGACCTTCCAGAATAGGCTGGCCCAAATCATCAAGGATGATAAGAAGAAACATTTGCATGTTGACTCCCGGTGTAAAATCCAGGTTATGGTTGATGCCCACGTAATCAACTCCAGCTGTTTGGGAAGCAGCAAGACTTGTATGGTCAGTTACTACTATATGTCAGCATTCACTTGTACATTTGTGAAATGTGTTTGCAGCTGTTTCTATTGCTGTCCTGGATAAAATCCAATTTACATTTTTGTCACGTGCAAATAAATTTGGGAACAATGAGCATACAGTGCAACACACATGCGCACACACACATATGGATCAGCATCTACTCTTCATGCCATCAGCACAATTAAAACTTGTTTAAGGTCCCTTAAACTGCAGATTAAGAGCTACAGCCTCAACAACACACAACAGACCTGATGTATACAGCAATTTAACTCTTATGCTCAACTCTAGACTACATGTAGGAGGTTTTACTTAGCTATTTACCTTTAAAGGAGCAAATGTCTGTCCCAGAATAATTCCAGCTGTACCCTAAGAAAAAGTGTATTGCAGCAGGCTAGATTGCTGAGCTTATAAATCACGCTGCTACCGCTATCTCATCACTAAAAGAAGCTGGCAGCTTGAGTGCAGGTGAAAACACCTACAATGACTTTTTTGTGTGTGTATGAGACTTAAATCTAAACTGGATGATGTATAATGACCTCACTTCTTCCTTCCACTTGTGTCCCATCCTTTCACTGAGATTCTGACTATTTCCATAATTTTACATTCTTTTTTAACCGAGTGTTCCTCCCTATATCCTTTTTAAATGTTCTACTTGTTGCTTGTAATGACAGCAACTCTTTCACTTCTTTGCCACAGTATGTTGCAATTTACATACTTGAAAGCAACTGTGCCTTTTTCTTTTATCCATCATTTTGCAGCCTCTGGATTAGAGGCAAGGAACACTTACCTGCACCAAAGCAGACCTCCCTGGGTGGCTCTGTGCGTTATGAAGAGCCACAATTCTTGCTCAGGTTTTGTTTTCCTTAATCAAATATTGTGCACATAGGCATTTCATATACAACCATATTAATATTTTTTGTTGCGTACAAAACTCTATAAATAAATTAGGAAAAGATTTAGTGAAGAGGATATTTTTTCCAAATCTCATAACTAGGCTTTAGGAGAAGTGATTTAAAAAAAAAGCCTATAAAAACAAGATTAGAAATGCAACATTAGTTCACTACTTTATGCTTAACACAGGATGTCCTGTAGGACTCAAACATATTTCTTCACCTGAATGGTGAATCTTCACATATTCATCGTCTATTTTGCTAACCACTACTCTGTTCTTCAGTAACTGCAGTCAAATTCTATTTTCATATATGTACACTACAAGTTAATTAACTGTCCCTTCAATCATACATGCTGCATTACTAGTTGCTGTAATTCTTTGTTATTTTGGCAGCAAATCAGATCATCTGTCACATACATAATAAAAAAGAAGATTTTGCTTTCAGCTTGATTACTATGAAAATTTCTGAAGCCTTATTATATCTCTTGCCAGTGTGTCATCAATTTGTTGGGCTGAACAGAGAAATTTTCATTAATGCAACTGATTTCCTTGACACTCAGAAGCTATAACTGCTCCTTAAACTTAATTTAGCATATAGCAAGACAAGCGACATATTTAAACAGCACCACAAAATTTTGGCCAGCGTAGTATTCCCAAAGTCTGATAGAAAAAATTACTTTTTTGCTGGGACTGAGAAACAAAACAAGGGTTTTACAGAGACAGTAACCAAATCTGGGGTATTTTGGGTCATTGTTGGATAGAGAAAATCCTTGGAGGTCACACTGGCAGTGTCTTCCAGAATTTCTCTCCACAGTAACCGAGAAACCCTAAAATCTCAGATATACCAGCTCTCGTAAATAAATAAAGCTTCCTTGTCTACTGTACTGATAGCGTTATTTGAGGATAACTGCAGATTTATGCTGTGAATTCATTTTTATTCCAGGGAAACACAGTGCTATAAAGACAACACTCTCTCTTTCACTCCAGCTGTTTCTCCCAATGTCTGCCGTTAGTTAAGGTGCGAGCAAACAATCATTTTAGTCACATCCATTCTGCAATCTCCCTCAGAAAGTCAGTGAGCTTAGTCGAGCTGTCCTTGCCACACACAACTGGGACACTAATATCATGTTTTCTACCTGATAAATCCATGTCTGATGTATCTTACTTCAGTTTTCCTGCCCATATATACACTGAAGATAAACAAGAGTGAATGCCAGGTAGTACCCTATTTTCATGCTCGCATATTCTAAAGCAACCCGAGCGCCATTTTTACAAGCAACTCACCCTCTGCTGACACTGGTTCTGATTTTCTGGAACGCACCGTAACAGAAGCTGCTTTGGACAAATCTGTTCCAGTCCTCCAGACACGAATCTCCACATAACCAGAGCTTTCATCTACTTGATACTCAGTGTTACCAAAGTACAAAGCAGGTTCTAAATACAGAGAAAAATGCATATATTTTTGAAAGATCTTCTTTTGGCCTGCTCCTGTGCACATGTATATTTACTGCTTAAACTCTCCAGTCTGAATTTTAGTGCTTAAGCTCTGCAGTTTGACTTTTAATGTAAAAAAAAAAAAAAAAAAAACCTATTTCCCCTGCAAATTCCAGTAATATCTACTGTCCACTTACATAAATATTATTTTTCACCTACCATTTTATGTAAGGGTTTTTTTAAATCTTTAAAAACCAAACTAAACAATCTTTGAATTAAATAACTAAAGTGTTATATCTACATATTTTTGACTTATCTGCAGCTGACAGAGATCTTCCACAGCCAGCCGTTTACCATCTGAAGTAAAGCAGCCATTTCAAGAATTGTGACTACGTAGCGTAACACAGAGGTAAGACATGGGATAGTTCTTCCATTACATTTTTGCTAAGTAAAACAATGCAGAAATTTTTTTGAAATGTACTATTAAAGGAAATATATACCTAAATATACCTTCCCCCCTCCCTAAAAGATAAAGGCACTTTGCAGGATTTCAAGAGTTTAGACTTTTTTTTTTTAATTGTTTTCAAAGCATACATTTGACACGGATGTGGCAGATTAAAGGCTTACAAGCTGTTTTTTTCTTCAGTGCGGTAAACTGACTTTAGTTATTCATAGGGTGTGCAAAAAGTTGCACAATCCAGGTCGTGGAATAGATCGATATTAAATTGGGTTTAAGCAAACTGCTGTTTAGCATAAGAGATCAAACATCACAAAACTGTCTCAAACCAGCACCAATTTAGCTGCCTTTCTGAATACCCATCAAGAAGATTGAAGCAGCACATGCTGAAGACACATTATCCCTGCTGCTTTTACTTCGTAATGGATAGAGTCTGCTAAATTCAATACATGGCCTCCTTTACTTTTGTCACCTAAACAATAGTAGGCTTTATCTTGCTATCAGTATTAATAAAGCCTGACACATTTTGTCTGTGTTGCATATTATTACTAATCTCTCCAGTACCACAGCAACATTTTTTTAGCACAACAGCCAGTATCCTCTTTAGAGAAGCCGCCAGCAGTCGCACAAAAGCCTGGCACTCATCTAATATGCTGCATTTCTATTGTACCTCTTGGGGAAATTCAAAGAACTCTGAAAAGCTTTAGAAGTTGTGATTGTTGTCTCCTACAGCTGGGGAAACGTCAGCTTAGAGTAAAACAACATGGTCCGTAAAGAGTTTCTAATTTTGGGCGGTTTTAGTTTTCTGGTGATTTCCAGAGTTCAGTTTATTACTGGGCTTGAAGCCAGCTCTACAGAAGGGACAGACAGCTTCCAATGACTCAATGTGCCAAGTAGAGCACAGAAAAATACACAGGCTTTCCTATATAATGTGAAGTAACTCAATAATAAAAGTGCCTCATCCTTGTAATAATTTTTTACTTTCTGGATCTTACCTTCCCTAACCTAAATAAATTATGTTTTGCAAATAGGGGAGCATATCTAGTTAAGTTCTTTTCTCAACAGGGACAGACAGTGCTGCTCAGCTATTTTGATAATTTTATGTTTGCCTAGAGGCACTATCTGCTTCCTCCATGTATATATAAAAACATCAGAACACCATCTGGCCCGTAACTATATAAACATTGCCGCTCCAGCTTGCAGGCACCTTTGGATATTTACTATAATTTTCTTGAGCCACTGAACTGTAAACCTTCATGCTACTTTACCATCAGAGCAAAGCCTGATAATCACAAAGACCTGCTGCAGAAGCAGATGAGGTCTTCAGCACACAGTATTAAGGAAGGTACAAGTGTTCCAAGAAGGATTGCATTAACATGTATTTTCAACCTTTTGATATATTAGCTTTAAACAGGCTGAAACAATTCCTTTCTTAGTCAGCCCAGCAGGATGTCCGACAGAGCAAAGCTTTTGCATGCAAAACTCAAGAGAAAGGTTAGAGAATGAAACCAGACACTTGATGACAGGTTAGATAATTTAACAAAACACAAAGCTCTTTGAAAATGTGTTTTTTTGAGGGACAGTTCTATTCATCAGGACTGCAGGACTTCCTTCTAGGTAAAAATCGCAACCTTTGGGGGATTGAAGGTCTTGGCTTTCTTCTTGAAAAATTCTTTTTCACTTCTTGAAGTATTTTTGTGTTTTAAGAAAAAGGGTATCACAACTAAAAGTCAAACTGAATGTCTCATTTTATGTCATTTAGACACTTCAAGCTGTTTTCAATGAAAATTTTGCCTTGCCCATAGCGGTACCCTACCACAATTTTTTCTCCCCACCTTCCTCCCAACCCCTCCAATCAAAAGCTTTAATGATCAGTTATTTATCAGTTCTGGCAATCTTCCCCCTGCTGTGACAGGTAAGAGTTTGAAGATGATCACATTCCCTTACCATCAGCTATGCATTTTTTAACTATTAAGTCTTCCCCACATAGTGGGAAGGAGGAGTCTAAACATCCACATTTACGTGCCCTTTTATCACAGATAATGGATTATCAGGTGACTACTGATGCCCTTTAAATTATTAGTTGTTTGTGTAAAGCACAGAACGAGTAATTCTTCACAAGGCAACAGTAACACTGCAGGCTATATTGGTGTCACTGGGATTGGGAGTGGTCCACTTCAACTGAGTGGGCAGAAAAATCATTGGGGTCCCCCATCAAGTGTGGAAAAATCATTTGAAAAAACACAACTTGACAAAGACTGCTACAATTCTGGCCACATTTCATGATCACTGCAAAGTATTTACTTAGTCAAGAGTAATCAATAATCTTTGTAGTTAAAAGACTATTATTTATATTTTTTAAAAATGTACAAAATATTTGTAATATATTATCATCTATTCTTTCCCATTCCTTCTTCCCCTCTGTCTGTCCAAGATTCTAGATTTAGTTTATTAATCAGACCAGTTAATTTTCTCTATTTACATAGGAATCTGCTTTCAAATATCACAAGTCCATCAAGCCCTTAGGCACAGCTTAAAGGACTTTCAAGTACAGATTGTAAATTATTTTGAAGTTTTAAGACATCAGGCAGTTCATCTTACTGCAGTCCATGACAACTGTCTTGAATTGGTCTTTAAATACCAGCCTCCTTAATTTGGAGAGTAATTTTTTTTTATCCCTTGAATATGCATATTGTGTCTACAACCATATGGAATGTAACATTATGACTTCAGATGTCAGTGCTGCTCCTTTTGATAACAAGATTTTTGTTTTGAAATATGGCTTAAGAAAATGCAATAATCAGTCACATTATTCATATTATAATCATCTTTCCCATTTCTATTACACTCACCATAATTTGTCACTTTAAATTGTGCTAAACTTTTTATAATCCTCCAGCTGAGGGAACCCAAAATGTTTGCTGACATTATCCAAAGTTTCTCAATCTTATTGTATTATCAATGAAAAATACTGAGTCAGCAAATACTTTTGTTCATTTCCAACACAAGCAGATGAAAATAAGATAAAAAAGTAAGTATCTCCGTAACACTTTGAATTTTTCAGATGAACATGTTTTCCCATATAAATACAGTATGAGAGAGAATTGTTCCTTGGATACTGTGACCAGTGAAGTATTCAACAGCATTTTCTGTATCTTCAGAGTTTCTGAATGCCCAATCTAGATACACCTACTCCAGCTCTTCTAACAGGAATCAGCAGTTCACCTATATCTTCCTCTATTCTATATTCCAGCCGAAGAATATACACTGTAGATACTGAACAAAAACATGATGAGAGAAGAGGGGCACCAAGGTTGAACACCTGTATGACGTTACATACACAGTATGAATTTAGCCAGGGAAGAGATGTAATAAGAAATAAAAATTCCTTGTTCAGCTAGGTGAAGCTCTAAGACAAGGCTGAACCACAACAGAGCAAAGACAGGTAAGGTACTCACAGGACCTGCAAATGAACAATACTGCACCTAATCACAAATTCTCAGGGAATGAGAAGTGATACGTACCATCACCAGGATCCACAATTTCAACTGTTGCTATGGCTGGAATCTCAAGGGCAGCCATAACTGGATCAGACAGAACAATCTGGAATGTTTCAGATGCCTCATATTCATTGTCTTCAATTATCCTCACTTGCCAGGAAGCCAAAGCCTGTCCTGGACTGAACTGGACCTGTTTCTGAGGTTTCCCCTTGAAGTCTTTATCCTTCACTGCTGTACCATCTTTGGTTTCAATACCTGCATAAAAAAATCGGAGGAATTATTCTCCATGCATTTTAATATTTTAATAAAATTAAAACAACAACCACAAAAAATAGCTTTAAAATGCTAATCTGGCAGTTACTGACCTACAGAAAAAAGGAAGGATCGTTATATCACACTTTCTCTAATATAGCTGCATAGCTCATAAAAAAAATAGGTAATTAGGATAGGGTTCTGCCAACATTTGTGTGCATAAGGAATTGTATTTGCATTAAAAATTCCACTGACTTCCTCTGCTGGGCACTTAAAACCTATACAGCCATCAACACAGTTACTGAGGCATGAGGTTATCTATCAAATATGACTGTTCAACAGGACCAATTTTCCCAGCTATATAAAAATTTGTGGAACAAACTTTCCACTTATGCCTTCAGAAAAGTTGTATCGGTTTGTTAAGAAATTTATTTATATCAATTAAAGTGTTCAAGTCTTTACTGAAGGTGTGATTCAGTCACCCAAATAAAAAAAACAAAAACAAAAAAAAAAACAAAACAAAGCCAAAACCCAACCCCACTGCTCATCTCTTTCAAAGACAAATTAATCATCATATGTTTAATACTTTGTATTTACACTCATTCAAGATCAGTGAAGTACTTTTATCACTTTTACCTGTACACTAAATAACTTCTAAAGACTTTTGCACCTGTTCAAGTCTTGCTTCTGCAGATGCTCTTCTAGATAGGTGAGTAAATATCTGGACATTTGACACGGAATTGCAGCTCAGTGAGACAGAACAATGTTCTCAGGATTTACTAGGCCCACCACGTTATGCAAATTTGCTGCTTCTCTCCCACACCCATTTTTTCTTCCTGGTGTCACTCTAAACTGTAATACTTGGTCAGATATCCATCCTCTTTGCTGGGGTATTATATCCAAGCAAAATCTTCTCACTGTACAGGTTTAAAAGACTACACATTCTCACATTAATAAAAATCACAGAGTGTAGTTGCATGGAGATTCTAGGTCTAGAGATGAATCCATCCAGTTCAAAGTAAAGCAGCAGATGAAGATTTAACTCAAAGTAGGTTTTGTTTGCTATTCAGATCAGATGGCTTTTGCTGCAGCATGAGAAAGGGATGACAAACCATGAATGTTTTGAAAGAGCAAAACCAATATCCAGAAATGTGAATGTAGTTTACTGGCGACTCACATACAGGGTGCTGCAACTGACATCAGGGTTTATTCAGCTTTTACTACTTAATGCAGTATGAGGCCCCCTTTTTTTTTTTTTTTTTTTGAGACTGTACCATACATAAAAATAATCATAGGAATGCACTCAAAAAATATATTATTTAAATATAAAGAATTGTTACACATTTTTCAGCTTACATACTTTTATAGCTAGGTTTCTTGTTTGTTTTAATCAAAGGTGCACACATACTGGCAGAATCCAACTGTGGATGTAATGAAGGAAAGATCTGAAACTCACCATGGCGTTTTGAAATTCATTACTGCCTTTGGGTTTCAATCCAGCATTTGTTCTAATATATGAGCATCTTTTTATTGAGGTTCAATGCCAGCAATTACGAGTCACTTTACCTCTCCAGTTGAGAATGGTTAATCCCTCAAGTCAACGGCCTACATGTTTGTGGGAGAATCTGATGGCTAGCAAAGAGCTTTTGAAGGCTGTGGAGTAAGAAATCATTCCTAAATTATTTCATTCCTAAATAATTCCTAAAGTCCCACAGCTGTTCTGTCCTACAACTGCTTAGGTTTTAAATGCCTGATTTACTTGATACTCAGATAATAGCCTGATACATTTGTGTTGCACAAATCAAATATTGTGATGAAAATGATGAAAAACCTACAACTTCAAACCTTTTTTTTATTATTTGTTTTTAGATCAGGGAGAAAAAAGACCCTTCTGCTCAGTGCTCCTTGAGTTGTTCTATTGGTGTTCCTATTTACTTTGCAGAGCTGCCACAACTGTGTACTCTGCTATCCCATGATAGCAGACTCGTAACGTCAGCGTGCTCTACACCAGCCACATCGCTGCTAGCAGATGACCCTTTGAGAACTTTAGGTAGCTTTGGGATTTTCTCATAGCAAAAAGGCCAGCATAATGCTGACCTTGTAAAGTGAGTTGTAATGAACTTCTCCACAACTTGGTTCTGCAAGCAGAGACCAGCTACTTCAAGAACTTATTTGTTTACTTATAGCTAAAGTTAATGAGTTATGAAATGTATCCTCCTGCCAAAATAAACAAAGCAGAGTATCCCAATTTCTGTTTTGTTGTCTGGCAAGCGACTTCAGGAAAAAGATACCGGCCAAACAGCAGAAGTTCATTTTATTGATTTGTTCTTACATCTACTAATATACATACCCAGATTTCTGGGTGGCATCAGTGGAAAATGAAACACATAACCATGTCTGAGCAGTAAAAATCTATACCATTCTTATTCTCGTTATTTGACACTATGTAAACAGAGGAACAAGAAACTATGGAACAGCTCCTTTTTCTGGTGCAAGAAGCTTCTAACATTAAAGATATACTTACTGATGAATGAGGTTTCTTGCAGATATCCTCTGTGTCTGATGGTCACCTCCAGAAATTTGGAGTTCTCATCTAGGACGTAGTTCTCCAGTGAACGCCAAGCCCAGTTCAGTCGAAATGGCTGGCTCTTTAACATGTTCCCCCCTGTGTCACAGAATAAGTATCCTCAGTAGTACATATAGTGTATAAGACACAGCTAGAATATTCCCTGAGGTCATTACTTAAGTGTATTTGTATCACCTCACAACAAAGCCAGCCTGCTTTTTCACCTGCAGATAGGAGGGACAGAGGTGCATCACGTGAGCCACGACGGTCCACGCTCCCAGACTTTCCAGACTTGACCAGCACACGTCTTCCAAGAGGCTGGAGGCTAGTTCAGGGGTCACAGCCTGTGTTCTAGCACCCCAGCTACATAATTAAGCTACCTATTACTCTCAAATATCACTTTTGCAAAGATTATTTCTGTCAGGAGTGGGATTAAGCTGTGAAAATAACTCTCTGGGAGGCTTTAGGTGGGTCACACTGTGGTCTCACACTACTGACTCTTCTTAACAATGCTAGTATGTGGCTATCGACATCAAACATGAGCACAAGCTGAATTCCAGATCTCCTAGTAACTGTAGGCAACATGGAGTATCACATGAGGAACATATCACATCATAGATAATAAACTGATTGATTGTGCAAAAATATTTGGAAATTGAGACTAAATTTCTATTCTTTGCTTTCAGGAAAATAATTTATTAAAAACATTAGTTATTTTGAAAATTGTAACCTGCTAGCATTTTTCGTGGGTTGTTTTTTTTTGGTTAAAAATTATGTTGGTTAACATTTTTCTTTTAAAATAAAATTCACATTTTGTTCTATAATTACGTGCCTCTATCACTGAAAGGTGGAGATCAACTGTCTAATTCAGCACTGGATAAAATAAATACTGAAACTTTTTGATTAAAGGATCTAATTCTCTACTAGTGCCCAGTTGACATCCAATCAAAATCACCACATAATTCTCTTTCGCTTTAATGTTGCAAATTATACTAACATTATCTCCATGGGAGTTGCCTCAGGCTCTTATAAAGTGTAGGGCAAAATCCAGCATAGCATTCTCCTGCTAACTGGAAGCAACTCTAGATTATACATTGTGAGTAACTCCAGTAATTAATGAGGTTACAGCTGCGTAAAACCTATGAGCCTGGAATCAATTTTAAGATGATTTATGCAGTTGCAACTTGGAATTAATTGTGCCTTCAAACAAAAAATGCAAGTCATTCAGCAAGATTGTGAAGAAAGCATTGAAGAAAACACATTTCTGAAAAATCACCTTAGCTGCACTTGAAGCCTAAACCTATTTATCAACTGGAATGTTTTCAGAACACTCTATTTAGCTGCTTGGCTGCTGCTTTGGCTGACACTGTATCGCTGCACATAGGCTGGAAAAAGACCTCTGAAAGCATAATTTATGAATGCTTCTTGGTGACTATTCCCTCAGAGAAGACAGAAAGGCTTCTTTTTATCCTAGAAACATCCCAATGAATGACATTATTTCTGCTGAAAAAATGTTTTTCAGCACGTTCATTATATTTCTGCTAGACATCTTTCCTGATGACTGTTTCACAGCCTTCATCTCTTGACAAACTTCAGTGTTTTGTTTTGGTTTTTCCCCATTTTTTACAAATAAGACTTAATGCACTGTGCTCCAAATTAAAAAAGATTTATCATCTTAGAAACGTAAGACTGGAAACAAAGGGAAACTCTGTCTTAAGGCTACATTAATAGCAAAACCAACCAAAAGGCTCACAACATGAAAAAAAAAAAAAATAACGATAAACAAGCCAATTTCCTACTAGTCAACAACTGCAGTCAACACCTAGTTCTTAAGTGTGAAATTACTGACGAACTGCTATATAGATCTATACAGCACCAAAAGCATGATGTGATGGGACCAGCTGCACACTTGTTTCCAGTCACAAGTGCCATCATCCCTGTTGGCCGTTTGCACTCTGAAGCCTTCCTACATACACAGAAAACATATACAGCCTCCTCATACTTACATACAAAACACACATATATGTGTAGGTAAATATGCTACTATACGTAGCTGTTTAGCAAACACATATTCATCATTTTTCAGGTATTCTACAGATACCTTATTCTGGAAATGTCTGCTCCTACTGCCAGAGCAGGAAGGATTTCAGGAAGGTTAATCTGCAATATAACTATCCCCAGACTATTTAGTCATGATAATGTTGCTGAAAAACTAAAGTAAAGCACCCCCCAAACTCTTATCCTTAGCATGCAGTACATGCAAAAACATGTTGGGAAACACTGTGGGGAAAACCAAAAGTGTATTGCGTATGTTCACCTATAGCATTGGCAGTCTCAGCACAGTGTGATCACAGGATCTGATGACTGACTGCTGGAGCCGATGATACAAAGCAGCTACCATTAATCCTTAGAAAATGTCTTTTACTTTCATCATCACTAGGAGAGATCAGAGAGCAAGAGAGCTAAAGATACACATCACTTTTCAATGGTACATATATCACATCTACCTGAACTCAATACCTGGCTTTTTGTGAACTCCTGCATTAAATAAAATGATCCCAAAGTAGACTCATATAATTTCCTATTACTGAGATTATCACAGAACTCAGCATCCTCAAATATAAATGTCTGGAACACCTTTTGTCCCTGTCTTTTAATCTGTAAACAGAAAAACACCCATTCATACTCCTAGACAATTTTTTTCCCCTTTTCAGACAAACATCTTATTTGGTAGGTGCACTTCCAACAGCAGGTTCACAACTTTGGGCTGCTTAATTCCAGTGAAAATCAGGACAGCTGAGGAACTTGTGCTATGCACAATACTAATGCAAGGTTCAGCACTTGTTTATCACCTCAGTTTCTTCACCCATTCCTTATTTCAGAACTGGGAAAAGGCTAGAGCAGAACGCAATTACATTTTTAAGGTAATACATCTCCTGTAGTTTTTAAGAGATAATAAAGTGTAGCCTATGGAATGCATTCTTCGCATTGAGGATTTAGTACTTCTACTTTAAAAATAACAAACTGGAGAACTTTAAGCTTTAAGGTATGTTCCAAATACATGCATAATATCTCCATTTTCTAACTAAACCACAAACTCATTAGATTACTTGCATATGCATCAGAAGCTGTAAAATCTTGCATCTTCCCATTCTGCAATTTTTAGGAAGAATGTATATGCAGGGGCAATTGCTGGAAAAAGTAAGCATTCATATTATGTATTTTATATGTGCATTTTTTTCAGAGAAACAGAGAACACTGAAAATGACAACAAACCATATCTTAAAAACAGGCCAATATGAAATTAAATGGTTGTCAGTTCTACAGTTAAGACAAACGGAGGTACTCCAACAAGATATTATAAGTAACAAGGACCCTAACTCTTTCAGTACCCAGCCCATCAGCCTTTTCCTGGCCAAAGAAGGAAGCCTTCAAGGGATGTCTCATACCATCAGCTTCATAAATCTAACAAAGCCAGAGCTGGTTTTCTCTTGTCAAAGAAAATTTCATAAAAACCTCCTGAGTTTCATAAAAGACAGCCCTCCATTTTCAGTGTTTTCGTAAAAATACTATCCTAGTTCCTGCTTTGTTGGTTTTATTACCCCTAAGCAAGGGTTGATGTCATGCCAAGTGTTATTAGATCTTGGAGAAAAACACTAGATTAATACAAGGAGATAAAAGTTGGCCATGTGCTTGGCACATGGGTCCTGCATGCTATGAAACAAAGATTTTCCTTCTGTAACCTTCACAGACAGTATAAATATACATTCAGTAGTTCTAAATTAGAAAAGAATAGTACACTAATAACCCAAATGGCAGGACACTTTCTGTTTGCTCTGGTGAAAAATCCATCCAACCACCATCACAGACTTTGGTTTAGCTTGGGTGGTTGGCAGTGTTTCTATCAATTCCTTCAAGCGAAGTTATGTTTCTTTACAACAGCTGCTCTGTGGATGCAAGCATATTTGCAGTTGGCTTTGATTTGCTGGATAGCTAAAATTTACTGAGAGGGATCAGAAAGACAGAAAGCAGTTAAGGGGAATAAACAGTGAATGAAAAGTTGGAGAAGCACAGAAAGAAGAAAGAACAAAACGCACCAGTTCAGAAAAAGAAAGTAAATATACATATGCATGAAAGGGAAATAGTTCCACATGTTGGAAAACTTAAAAAGGGAGATGAGAGGAAGGGGAAACTTTGAATTAATTTGTAACTTTAGCTAAAAAATCAAGGGGTGGCAAAGTCACAAATGGGCACTAATACTCCTACCACCCAAAAATCTTCAAAAATTCTTGGGCAAGGGATAAACAGCAGGTCAAGATATGTAGTTTGTTCAGAACTAAGCAGTTTTTCTTTTTGTCTTTATTTTGAACAAAATCAATCTTGTACTATGGCTCAAGGGGTTATTTTTTCACTGAAGTCATGCTTCAAGAAACTTAAAAAACCCCCACCTCACAACAAAGCAAAACACCACCACAGATACAATTAAACAGAGTTTGGGTAATATTTTTCTGTTTGGTGAGTTTTTGGTTGTGTGTACCACAATATCAGGCTGCATAGTAATGAGGGAATATCTCATTCTGGTATTTGTAATGAGAAAACATTCTGTCTCAGACAGAACAAGTGGCTGTTCTGAGCAGACCAGCTAAAACAGCTGCCACCAATCCTTAATCTTCTTTTATCTTCCTTCTTTGCTGGCATGCACAGAGGACCTAACATGCTACTCAGACAAGCAGCAGGCAGGCATACTACTAGACTCAAAAAAATTTTGTTCTCACAAAAATATATTCCAAGAAACTGTAAATAAATAAATAAACAGCCAGCAATAACCTCTGACTGAATATTCAGACATGGACTTAGGGTCCCTAAAAATATATACTTTTCTTAATTCTAGAAATTGTTTCTATAAAATTAATACTGTAAGCACAAATTGCAAAATTAGAGGATGTAAAAAAGGACTAGTACCTTGTCTTTACTTTCGATGTAATCAGTAGATTTTCCTCTCCTGAATGTTTCAAAAGATGAAATAACAGCACAGGCTATCAATCTAGAAAAAACACTTTTTTTTTTTCCCCCTCAGGAAAAAGTCACCTACCCTTGGC